GGCCCAATGGCAGTTCCACTTTTAATTTTTCACGGACACCCCCTACTGCTTCCCACAGAGGCTGCGCCAGTCGGCCCTCCCCCCAGCAGCGCCCTGGGTCCCTTTCCCCACACCCTCCCCAGCACTGACCGTGCGTTGACTGGCCCTGGAGAGCACTATGCTAAGTGAAACAAGCCCGTCAGAAAAAGACATACCATGTGCTCTCACCTGTATGTGAAATCTAATGAACAAAATCAACTGGTGAACCAAACAGGACTGGGGGCATGGACACCTGGGACAGACCGACAGGCAGCCAAGGGGAGAGGGGCAGGAAAGAACTCATGCACAGCTCACAGACACAGACAACAGGATGGGGACGGCCTGGGGTGGAGCGTGGGCTGGATGGAGGGGGGTCAAGGAGAAGGGGGACACCTGTAATAGAGTCAACAATAAAACAATACAAATCAATAGAGAGACTATGTTTGGACACCATAGAGGGTGTTTTTATTCATTATGTCTGGTCCTTCAACCAAATGTGTCGGCACCCAGAAGCGTGTGAAGCAATACAGAGTCTTTTGTCCTCTACGCTCAGGAAGCTCCCGCCTTTTATCATTAATTTGACTCAGTTGCTACAATTTGTGAATCAATTGGGCTTGAGAAGCAAATGGGTTTATTACCAACAGCTTTCAAAAGAGGATCCAGCAGAATGCAAAGAAAAAATGTTCTTTACACGCACTACCTTGACCTGTTCTTTGCACTGGAGTGTTCAGAAAACAAAACAGATCGCTCTCTGTTCGAAAGCTCTCCTTGGAATTCAGGAGACGAAGAGGTGGAGATTTGCTGGTCTGCTGTTCTGAGTGTTCTTATAATTTTTATAATGAATTTCAAGCAGGAAAGTTTAGAGTTGTGGGGAGGTTGTTTGTTTGCTTTTGGATTTGGAGAAAGTAGAGAATAAGAAAATGGAGGTTTTGTGGAGATCTAAAAGGTAAACGTGGCCCCGATGAGCTTGTTTTTAATGGTCACGTAGAGACAGGAAGTAGGTCAGTGGTGGCCAGAGGCTCAGGGAAGCAGGGAATGAGGACTGACCACGAACAGGATTGGGGTTTCTTTTCAGGGTGATGAAAACCTTCTGGAATTCGATCATGACGATGGTTGCACAACTTTGCGAATATGCTAAAAACCACAGAGTTGTGTGCTTTATCATTAACACTGTAGTACGTAGCGCTCAAAAAAAACTGTAAAGAGATAGACATTTACAGGCATAGAAAAACATTAGAGCCCTGGCTGGTTTGGCTCAGCGGTTAGAGCATCGGCCTGCGGTCCAGAGAAACCCGGGTTCGGTTCCCACTAGGCGTATGTACCTCGGTTGTGGTTTGTCCCCGGCCCTGGTTGGGTCGTGTGGGTGGCAGCCACTCGATGTGTCTCTCTCACATTGATGTTTCTCTCTCTCTCTTCCTCTCCCTCCCACTCTATCTGAACAAAAAAATAGAAAAATGTTCTCGGGTGAGTATTAAAAAAAAAAGAAAAACATTAGAAAGCTAGAGTATAAGTAAAAATAAATCTTAAAATTGATTGGAAAATAAAAATGTATTCAATGCACAGTATTAAAATATTTGGACACTGAGTTGAAAAATAGAGCTAATTTTCTTCTGCATGACATTCAGACAAATAAATGTGTTGAGTCCAGCTGGTGTGGCTCAGTGGTTGAGTGTCCACCCTGCACCAAGAGGTCACCAGTTTGATTCCTGGTCAGGGCACATGCCCACGCTGTGGGCCCGATCCCCAGTGGGGGGCGTGCAGGAGGCGGCCAGTCGATGTTCTTTCTCTCTCATCAATGTTTCTAGCTTTCTCTCCTTCTCACTTCCTCTCTCTCTCAAATCAATAAAGGGGGGGAAAAATAAAAATAAAAATAAATAAATAAATATATTGATATACTTTATGTAAACATAAAAATTGAAATCTGTAGATAAACAAAAAGCAAGCGAGGAAGGGAAGAAAGAAGGAAAGGAGGGAGACATGAAGGAAGGGAGGGAGAGGGAGGGAGGAATGTTCAGGAAGTAGTTGCTGACACCATCACAGCGGAGGAGGTGGGTGTGTACTTAGCAGTGTTGGTTCCAGCAGAAAAAGGGTGGGCAAGAGAATGTGGGAAGGAACAGGAGACAGACGATTGGACAACCATGTGGAAACCGCCCTCCATCAGGGTTACAGCTAATTACAGTGTTACAGTATTACTCATGTATCACTTTCCTTTGTCCCTTCATGAGCAGGAGTAGGGATTTAAGGCCCAGAATAAATTCACATAGAAATGTTAAGCTCTCTCGGGCCAAACAAGTCATCAAACTCGACGACATACGGCCCTGTAGAGCGGCCGCGGCACACATCCCAGGGAGGTTCTGTGAATGTCACATGCCCCTGATAGGCTACAGTGACAAGGCACCTCGCCTGGTGCTATTCTTTCCAGAAACCCCGTCTACCCAGAAACACCAGACAAAGCGAACCGAGAGGCCTTCTGCACAGTACCAGACCAGCGCCGCCGGGAACCGTCCAAGTCACGAGAAACAAGGAAAGACGCCAAGGGTCACCCACCGGGAGAGGCTGAGGCGGCACTGTGGGGTCTCCGATGGGACCTGGGACAGAGACAGAACGGGAAAAGGATGAAACCAAAATGCAACGTGGAGCGTGGTGAGGGGCCATGTCCCGAAGCCGGTTTCGGTTCCGGTTCCGGCGCTTTAACAAAGGCACCGAGAGGGTGCGACATGCTAACGCCGGGGGAGCAGCATGAGGGCTACGTGGGAGCTCCCTCTCCCAGCTCTTCAATTTTGCTGTAAATTGAAAGCGATTCCAAAATAAAATACATAAATATGGTTTTTTGAAAAACTCAATTACAAGCACAGTGGCTGGCCACTGGAGGAATGTCATGAAGAGATGTCAGAAAGTCCTAGATTGGATTTAGATCATAAAGTGTACCCAGCCCTCCCACACCACTCCAGATGAGCTGTCATTTTGTTCCTTCCCATCCTGGCTCCCACTGTCAGCTCGTCCTTGGGCACTGAGCAGCTGCGCCTCTGCATGTCCTAACTACCCATCCTCTTAATCACACGAGCTTCCAGACACGCACGACCCACGCAGCACCTTAGTCACAGCCCCCCAGGTGGGTGGCCGTTTCATGTCCCTCTGCTTACGGTGCCAGGACCACAGGTGTCCGATCCTCAAGGCTCCCCCACTGTATCCACCCCACTGTAAAACCCAGGTCCCGGTGCCCACGATGGGAACACCCCTGTCGACAGTGGCCGGTCACATCTCTATGTCAACACATCTCTCCCTGTTCTGGGGAATGAACAAGGAGCTCACCACCCAGGTCTCCCTTCAGAGGACTCACCCCGGTCAAGAGCCAGGAGCCTCCAGCTATAATTCCTCCAGGATTGGCCTCAGGTGCAGAAGGCCTCCTCGCCTAAGATGACCACCTCTTCCCACTCGGCCCACACCCAGTGACTGGCCCCGTGGTGGGTGGAAAGGCCCAGCTATTCCGGCCCAGCAGGGATGCCTCTGATGGACCATATGTGCCCGGAGCTCCCCAAGGTGGGCTGTGAGCTTGTCAGGCCTGCGCTGCAGTTCAGCTTCTTCCTCTGCCCCGACCTGCTCTCTCCCTTCCCCTTCCTTGCGAGTTGATCCTGAATTAACATCCTATGTGCCCGTCTCTGTCTCTTCTGGAGAAGTCAGTCTGTGACCGCTGCCTTGGGCTGGTGGGGGAGGGGAACAATGTGCTCAAGATGGTCCATCATACATCCCTTCTCCTAACCTCTCAGCCTCCCTTGCAGCTAGCACATGACCCAGCTCTAGCCACTGAGGCATATCCTAATTCTCTTGGGGACAGAGGGACATTTCTAAATAAAGGGGTTTCTCTCTTCCTAAAGGGGAACAAATCCCAGTGGCTTCCGTTTTCTTCTTGCAGTCGATGTGACAACCGGAGCTGCCGCCATCCTGTGACCGTCAGGGGGCACACGTGAGGATCACAGAGACAGTAACCTTGAAACTGCTGAGCCAGCATCTACCTTGAGACATCATAGCCTGTGAGAACAACGAGCCCCCGTTTCCTCCAGGGCAGTCATTGTCGCCCCCTGCACTGGGACACACCCCTGTGCAGGCTGCGTTCGAGCCCAGGCCCGGGCACGCGCCCATCTCCTTGACCATCTACAACAGCCTCATAGAGACACATGCAGGGGGCTTCCCAGCCCTGCCCAGACCACTCGATTTGTCCTTGCCCAAGTACAAGGTAACCATAGTGCACCTGGTCACCTGGCCTTAGACCCTGAACCTGGACATCGGGGGCTCCCAGCGGGGCTAAGGACCTGTCTCAGACATGTGCATGACAAACAGCAGCACTTCCCGTCCATCACGACAGGAGAGACGGCACTCTGCCCAGCCCCCAAGCCCTACTCCCATCCACTCCTGTCTAGAAACTTCTGAAGCACCAATGGTCCCCATTTAGAAAGATCTGAGGCTACAGAAATGCACTAGGAAAGCAGGCTGCCCCACCACCTGAGCGCTTGGAAACACACATTATTTGCTTGTTTTTCACTTAAGAAAATGGCCACCCAGGTGTTTCTAATTCTGGCTCCCGCTTCAGACAGGCAATCAGGTTCCAAAATACCCCTAATGGGCGAGTTTCTCGTCCAGCCAGGTAAACATTATTCTTCTCCACTCACACATCTGTGCTTCCTAAAACCAAATGGGAGGAAATACTTGCAAAGCACTGGGGAAAGGTCTGGAAATGCACTGCAGTGTACAGCTCACAGCCTAACACTGTTTTTGCAGAAGCTCCACTCAGAAAAAGTGGGGGTCTGTTCTGACACCTACTGACCCCGGCCCAACCACACATGACCAGCACACGTGCTTCAGGTCTCCCTTTGCACAGCCATCAACATGCGTCCATTCACCAAGTATGTACTGAGTGCCAGACACTTTTCCAAGAATTAGGAATACCACATCTTCTTGGGTCTCTCTCAGCTACTTCCCCGCCAGTGCTCAACTCGGCAGCACATATACTAAAACTGGAACAACACCGAGAAGACTAGCCTGGCCCCTGCATGAGGAGGAGACGTAAACGCTTGCAATGTTCCATATTTTATTCTGTATCTTGTCCCTAGATGTGGTCCTCTCTTCCCTGTGAGCTCTCACCAACAGATGACCCTAACTTGCCAAATGTGTGAGAGCTTGGACCCCCTTCTCCTGGGCTGACGTGCCACCTGTCGGAGCTTCAGACCAGGGCAGTGAACAGGAACTGAAAGCAAATTTTACAGGAACATGACAGCAAATGTTATAGACAATTCTGTTTGCGACAATGTCGACGAAATCATGTGATCCTCATAACCACCCGTGAACGAGGCACTGTAATTACACCCATTTTATAGACAAGAAAACTGAGCCTGGGAGGGCTCTCGTAACCAGTCCGAAGTCACACAGCTAACCTGGGGCAACGCTGGTTTCCAAATCCAGAAAAAAACACCAAATCCCATCCACCCTCAACCTCCCAGAAAATTCTTTCACTTCCTTTAAGTCCAAACAGGATTTCATTCAGTCGGTCACAACCCTCTTTGGTTCTAAAACCCTGGTCCAGCTGATGCAACGAGAAAAGTATCAAGACGGTCCATTACTGGTTTTCACGATTGTCGTGGGCCTGGGCTGGGTTTGCTGTCCAGCGTCTTCGGGGAACAGAACCACATTTTCCTCGGGGGAATCACCCTTTACTCAGTTCACGGGATTCGGGTCCAGGGAACTCCGCATCCAGGGCTGAGCACGTGACTCCGCCCGGGCCAGTCCAGGCATTGCACTCCCCTGTCCACAGCGATTGGCTCAGGGATGTGCGTGCCGTCCAATCACATTCGGGGAGATGTGATGGGCGTCTTCCATCTGCAGAGAGGGCGGCCCTCCCCCCCTTCCGCGGGACTGGAATTCGGAGCGTTCGAGTCTAGAGTTGCTGGCAGCTTGCGGTCTGGGTGAGGACGCAGCAAGGAGCACAGGTGCCAGCCAGCAAGTGAACCCTGCCAGACCCGTAGACTTGCCAGAGGCCCAAACTGGGACAATACATTTCAATCGTTTAAACCACCCAGTCGATGGTGTTTTGTTATGATGGCAGGAGCTCAGGCTCCCTGGGGCCTTGTAACAGTCATTGAGCCTTAAATCCTCCTGTACCTGAATCTATAAAACCCGGAAATTTCCATGATGTGAGACAGAAAGCAAATCCCTTCTTTTTATTTAAACCATCTCAGATTCACTGCCAGGGATCCTTCCCCACCCGCAGAGCCCAGAAGCTCCTTGAGAACAAGGCTTTGCACAAATGGCAGCAAGGAGGACCCCCAGAGCGCACTTACTTCTTGGGTACTTTCTACGTTACCACGTAAACCCCCCTCCATGCATGCAGCCAACTGCAATTCCACTGTTTGACCCTTTAGGCCAGCTCTGTGCAGGCTACACACACACCGGCCAAACAAGATAGACGCAGTGGCCGTGTGCCTTAAAGGAGAAGCATGTCCTCTAACAAGCCGTGATGCTGACTATTCCTGCCTAGTGCTCACCGCTTTCTTTAAGTCTCTAGCACCCTGCTTGCACGTCACCTGTCTCTCCAGCCAGACTAGGAGTTCCGTAGAGGCAGGAGCTGTGTCTTCGTATCTTTGCATCGCCAACACCTAGCATGGAACCAGGCATGAGGTGCCACTCCATCACTGTCTAGTGGATGGGTACATGAAAGAAGAACGTCACCTTTCATCTTTCCAGTGGGGGGATACAATTCTATCACCATCCGACAGTTGTGTACCAGTCAGGGGACAGTCTAAAGAGCTGTGGCAAAAAGGCCAACCTTTTAGTGACTCACGCAACACACACCCACGTGCGGCTTAACGGCGGGAAACGTTCCGAGAAATGTCACATGAGGCTCTTTTGATGTTGTGTGGACGTCCCAGAGTTTGCTTACACAATGGTCCAGCCCACGACACGCCGGGGCTGCATGGCACAGCCTGGTGCTCCTGGGCTACAGCCTGTACAGCATGTCACTGCACAAAAACACGACATTAAATCAAGCCCAGGAGAAAGCAACACAGTCAAGAGACGGGGCGAACACAAGACCTAGGAGGCTGCCATCAGCATGCAGGGCATACGGTTTACAGCGAACATTTTGTGAGCGGAGAGAGGACGCTGTACAACAGTGAGTAAAAGTACAGTGTAGTAAATACATAAACAATAACATCGTTGGTTATTATCGCTATCGAGTGTTGGGTACTATACACATTGTAGGTCCTGTGCCTGTACATGACCGCAGGCAGGCAATGGGTCTGTTTACACCCGTGTCACCGCAAACACCTGAGTAATGCATTGCACAATGACATTAACACGGCGACATCACTTAGGCAATAGGAATTCTCCAGCTCCGTAATAATCTCATGGGACCACTGTTGTATAGGTGGCTTGCCATCAGTCGAAATGTGTCTTTGTGGCGCCGGATCGACCGCAGAATTTTGTGAACCAGTAAATGGATGAATGGATGCCTGTGGCCGTTTCCAGGACAAAGACAAACTGCTCAGAAAAGCCGGCAAGCAGATGCACAGTCTGGCCAGCAGGGGGCACCAGCCTGCTTTTCAATCCCCCTGCCCTAGCCCTGGGAGCCGGTACCTGCTGTCAGTCAGAGAGGCTCAGGACGCTCAGTGGTCATTTTGCTGCGCTGAAGATTAAGTAGGAGTTGTTTGCCTCCAGCCAATGTATGAAAAGTGAGTGTTCACCCCTCACTTCTAACACCAGGTACTACATCCCGTCTTGCTAGGAAAACGGCCGTAACTGTAGCAACCAGTGGCAGGTTTTCTGTTCCCAAGTGTGGACAGGAGGTGAGGGAAAGGGGAGACAGGAGGAAGACGGCCGAACAGAGGGTGTAGGAAACTGCTCGTCTTGGAGAAGCAGGGGAAAGTTCTCTGTATGTCTCCCAGCTGTCTGTCTCTCTCTCTCCATCCTTTCGTTTTGGGAGAAGGAGATCCAAGTCCATACTGGACAAGCATCTGGAGGAAAGTCTCCCCTTTCCTGTGAGCAGCACACCAGCAGCACCGTGTGGACCCTGCTGGAGCCCCAGCTCAGCTCAGCCTGCCTGTGAGCGATGAACACTTCGTGCTGCCTGCTGCCTGCTCAGCCCACGCTGCCTGATGGCTCCAAGCACCCTGCAGCCTCTGCCTTCAGCAACCAGAGCAGCCGCGGGTTCTGCGAGCAAGTCTTCATCAAGCCCGAGGTCTTCCTGGCGCTGGGCATCGTCAGCCTGCTGGAAAACATCCTGGTCATCCTGGCCGTGGCCCGGAACAGCAACCTGCACTCCCCCATGTACCTCTTCCTCTGCAGCCTGGCGGTGGCCGACATGCTGGTGAGCGTGTCCAACGCCCTGGAGACCGTCATGATCGCCGTCATCAACAGCGACTCCCTGACCTTGGAGGACCAGTTCGTCCAGCACATGGACAACATCTTCGACTCCATGATCTGCATCTCCCTGGTGGCCTCCATCTGCAACCTCCTGGCCATCGCGGTGGACAGGTACGTGACCATCTTCTACGCGCTGCGCTACCACAGCATCATGACGGTGAGGAAGGCGCGCGCCCTGATCGTGGCGGTCTGGGTGTGCTGCGGCGTCTGCGGCGTGGTGTTCATCGTCTACTCCGAGAGCAAGATGGTCATCGTGTGTCTCATCACCATGTTCTTCGCCATGCTGCTCCTCATGGGCACCCTCTACCTGCACATGTTCCTCTTCGCCCGGCTGCACGTCCAGCGCATCGCGGCGCTGCCCCCTGCCGGCGGGGCGGCCCCACAGCAGCGCTCGTGCATGAAGGGGGCCGTCACCATCACCATCCTGCTGGGCGTGTTCATCGTCTGCTGGGCCCCCTTCTTCCTCCACCTCGTCCTCATCATCACCTGCCCCACCAACCCCTACTGCGTCTGCTACACGGCCCACTTCAACACCTACCTGGTCCTCATCATGTGCAACTCCATCATCGACCCCCTCATCTACGCCTTCCGGAGCCTGGAATTGAGAAACACCTTCAAGGAGATTCTGTGCGGCTGCAATGGCATGAACTTGGGATAGGACGCCGGGGCTGCAGAAACTGCCACCGGTCGGGTCACTTTTGACCCTCCGCCCAGCTAAGGTGTTCAGCAAGAAGAAGAGGGGGGAATAGAAGGTGTCAAAGTGTGTGGACAGCTGTGGTTGTGCATGTCTTGTGTTTTTAAGCTTGCAACGCCTTGGAAAGGGAAATGGGATGGACCGGGCTCTCTGAAAGGCTCCCAGTGTGGGTAAGTCACAAACTCTGATTCCCCAAATAGTCTCCCGGAGGAACCAGTGAGGACGCCCGGGATGCTCTGCGCGCTCATGTCCACGCACCAGGCTCTGCAGAGCCCGCCTGTGCTCCTGCTTCCTCGCGTGTCCTCACGCTTCCAGCCGGATCAAACAGGATTCTCGCCGACCGGAGGCTGGGTCAAAGCCCTCCCAAGCAAACCTCTTACCGAGCCCACCTCTGGCTTTGCCCTCACTGCGTGAGACACTTGCGTTTCTATTCTGTTACTCTATTTACAGTAAAACTGTTTCCCCCAGACAATGAACTCTTTTTAAAGAAGCAATGCTGTGCTGCTTGTTTCTTTTCACCCTCACACCCCTCACCAGCCCCCCCCCAAAAACAGCATCAAAATGTTACCCACGATGCACCCGTCTTTGTTGTTATTGGGGTTGTTGCTTTTGTTGTTGGGTTTTATGCATTCGATCCAAGGCATCTTCTAAAACTAGTGCAAAAGAGATCAAGTACTTTGGAAAATCAGAACACACCTGTGTGCCAAGTACGCCGATGCCTTGCTATGCTAAGGTGTAGATTTTCCTATTTTAAAAGTCTTTTCCTTGTTATTCCTTTTCTGTCTTTAACACAAGAGAGGGCACCGTGGGTGGGAGGGGGGTGTGTCTCGAGAGATTGCTTTACTGTCGTTGTGGGTTGTTTGAGAAATTGTGGGATTGCCGGTGATTTTCTTGGAAGCTGTTTTTGCTCATTGCAATGGTGTCTCTATCTCACGATTTTCTGAAATGTTATCTAGGAAACAAAACTGGGGGGGGGGCATTACTGCTCCTTTTGCTCAACACGGTGTTAAAGTTGGGGTGATCCTGTTATCAACGTCTGCACCTTATCAAAGAAAGCGATTCATTCCCTTGAGCACAGGGCAGATTTGCTGACAAGCGCTGTCCAGGGCTGTGTGCTGTGTGCGTCCGTCAGACCCTCTCCTGCCCTGGAGAACTTCGCATGGTGCTTCCTGGCTGTCCCCCCGCCCTCCCCCCACCCCCACACACCATGGGTTCCTCTATTGTGCTGCGTCCTTGTGCAAAATCGTGTGTTTTTCTTGTGCTGGAACACATTGGGGTTTTATTGGACTTGACATGTTGCTAATATAAACAATATCATTTGTTTCTTGCTTTGTGGTGTTTGGAAATAAATAAAAGGCTCTCGTGGATGCTGAACGTGTGACATTAAAATACACCACCTGGAAGTACCCCGGGGACTTCTGGGCAACCCCACGCCCCCTGCAGTTCTATTTTGTAAGCGGTGCAAACGTCCCTGTCGTCACGGCTGGACTTTTCTAGGGCAGTGCCTTTTAGCCAGGCTGCAAAAGTCCCCCACTTAGGTTCGGAAAATACCAGGCTGGCGTTGCTGAGCCCCTGTCACCCTCCATTATTTTAATGGAGACGCCGAATCACAGTGTGCTCTGCCACCCGGTGAGCAAGCGTGGGAAATGGGGACTCCGGCGCTTTGAAAATGGTCCGAACTGCTATAGGAATGATGATACCCTTTTTCCGTGGGAACAAGAGGGAAACACCTTACTTCCCACTCTCGACATCAGCTTTCACGTGATTTCATTTCGTCTCTCCACAAACCTCTGAAACAGGGGAGTTATTTTGCAGGTGAAGAGACTCAGACGGGGGTTACGCGGTGTCCACGAGCGCCCAGCTACTCGGGGTCACAGTGTATTCTGTGGCTGTGCCAACGACTGATGGGCATGTGCTTCTTGGAGCTTTGCAGGAACCCTGGGGGTAGAGACTGATATCATCCTTATTTTACAGACAAGACATCTGCAGCTCCGGCTGCCCAGCCCGCACCCTCAAGTCCAACCACCCCCCCGGGAGCGGTCTGCACGCTCAGCCCTGACCCGGTGACATGGGAGGCACGGGCTGCCGAGGACGGAGACGTCAAAGCCACAGCTCACGAGTCCATTGTTCTCAGAGTCCATGGAGGTGTCGTAAAAGCCGACAAGCACAACAAGCATCTGACTTGCTAATATACTCTTCCGAAGTCTATGGGTAGCCCTGGGAATGCGTCCACTTCTGGGGGTGAACAACCCCGAATGTTGGGCCGACACTGCCCCCTCCACAACCACTTTCCACTCAACATTTTAAGCAGAAGGACAGTCAGATTTGAAAATGACTAACTTTTGGAAATAAAAGCCCATCGTGATGTTAATCTATTTGTTAGGTTACATTTACCTTTCATCCCTTACCCCCGGGAGAAATCACTGCAGTGGTTGATGCCCTGGGCCCTGGAAATCTTTGCCTATTGTCCTTGTTTAAATTGAACTTTGGAGCTTAATTATGACATTTTTCTGGAGAGGGAGGGTTAAAACATACTCAGGCCTCTTTGGCTAGAAACCTTTACCCACGCTCACTTCTACTAAAATCCATTCTCCACAGAGCAGCCTGGTTAAAACTGTATAAAAACTATGAAGCAGGTTTTATCTCACTCCTTAAAACTCTTCATTGGCTCTGAATAAAGTGTTTCTTCCTTACCCAGCCCTACAAAACCCCGATGATCTGATCCCCTCCGGTAAGTCCTCAACACACACCCCCTTCCCTGTATTCCTTCCCCACTCCTGGACTCACACTCAGCACACTCACCCCTACCCCAGGGCCTTTGCACCTGCTGTTTCCTTGCCTGAAGGCTCTTCCCCCATATCTTCCCATGATTCAAGCTCCAGCCCAGTCTTCAGGGATGCCTTCCCTGACTACTCTTCCTAAAGAAGACCCCAGTCACTCACAGGAAGTATTGTTTAATCACAAATCTTGTTGCTATTTTCTGTTTTCTCGTTAATGTATTAGTTTAATTAGCATCAGTCTCCCCCACTAGAAAGCAGTGCCTCGTGTATAAAACTGGTCGGTAAGAAGCATATGTGCTACATGAGTAAGCGATTTCATTAATACACTTAGATATGAGTGCAAAGAGAACACAGGGCGGGGCAAAAGTAGGCTTACAGCTTGAGTATGTGAAACAGAGTCTATTCTCGCATTATTATTTATTTGTTATCGTCCCATTTTGCATGCTGTGCCCCACTCTCCCTGCATGAGACACCAGCTATCCTCACATTTGGTGGGTGTCCGTGTCCAGTGCGGGGCGTGGGGAAACCAGCCCAGGCTCTGAAACCTAGGACCCAGTGGATCAGAGGTCATGTCAGGCATCTGAAATTTTCAAAACCCACAGGTGATGATGATGCAAAACTTGAAGAATCGCCCCAACCAAGAAGCACTGCTTATTTCTCAAGAATAACCAAAACCAGCACCCTCAAGCTCAACTTTCTCTCCCATCACCATTTCCTGTCAGGACATCAAGAACCTGTGATTAATGCCGGGCTGTCCGAGAACCAACAGTAAATCTAGAAGCTGGGAAGAGCCGGAGGACAAAATGCAGAAGAGAAGCGGAAGTTTTCCCTGGCGAGCGCGGGCTTTCTCAACTGAGAACACCTCCGTGAGAAACAAACCAGTAATATAAAAGACGGTTTTAGTGTATGCGCCAGAATTCTGCCAAGCGCTTAGACACGTGAATTAATTCACTGCATTCTCACCGAATCCTACAAAGCGGGCACTGCTAACATCTTGTCCTACAGAAAAGGTGCACGGAGGAGGGTCCTCATCTTGACCAGGCTACTCAGAGCTGAGAGGCAGAGCTGGGACCCATAAGAAGGCGGGCTCCACAGTCCCATGTTACCCACAAAGCCACCCCACAATGGCCTGCCGCAGTGCTCCCCAGGGTTCAACGGCCTTCAGCAAAGCCCTCCAGCCCCATAGACTTCCCAGCAGAGAACTTAGCACATTGTTGTATTTCTCTGTTGACTTCTCTCTCTCTTTTCTACCAGGCTGCAAGCTAAACTGAATTTCGCAAGGCAGACAGGGTACTCTCTGCCCTGGGGTCTTCTTAGAAAGAGTAGTCAGGGGCCCAGCCGGTGTGGCTCAGTGGTTAAGCATCACCCCATGCAACAAAAGGTCGCTGGTTTGATTCCCCGTCAGGGCACATGCCCGGGTTATGGGCCCGATCCCCAGTGAGAGGCATGCAGGAGGCAGCCAATTGATGTTCTCTCTCATTGATGTTTCTCTCTCTCTCTCCCTCTCCCTTCCTCTCACTCTCTCTCTCTCCATTCCTCTCTCTCTAAACTCAATAAATAAAAGAAAATTTTTTTAAAAAAAGAAAGAGTAGTCAGGGAAGGCGTCCCTGAGGACTGGGCTGGAGCTTGAATGATAACAAGGTGCCAATCATGGGAAGATATGAGGGAAGAGCCTTCAGGCAGAGAAAACAGCAGGTGCAAAGGCCCTGGGACAGGAATGAGTGTACTGAGTTAGAGTCCAAGGGTGGGGAAGGAATATAGGGAAGAAGGAGTGTGTTGAGAACTTACCAGAGGAGATCAGATCATCAGGGCTTTGTAGGGTTGGGTAAAGAAGAAAAAATGGTATTCAACAAATTTAAGCAGGACACAGGAGTTAATAAGTAGGTACACAGGGCCACAGAAAAACCCTGAATTTTTCCTGCCCGATGTTGTTTTCTGGTCTCTGAGGTCAGACAGACTGACTTTGAAACCCGAGGCTTTGCCTACAGACCAAGTAGGCCTCGGGGGCCACTGCACTGGGGAGCTGAGAGCATTCTGTTCCTCCACCCCCTTGTAACAATTCGCTAAGCTTGGCTTTCTGTGTACTTTTCAACGGACGCATAATAAACCCACAGAAAAACTCTCACAAATTCCGCTTTTGGCCAGCTTTCCCGGTCTTTCCTTTCGAGGGCTGGCACGAACGGG